AGAGAGGGGTGGGTCATCAGTTTTTTAGCCCTTGGTAAGGGGTGGGTCTTTCAGTTTTTAGCTAGCCATGGTGGTCGGTGATCCTATTTTATACCACAAATTGGCACACATTTATATATTTTTTACAAAGTCTTGATGCTAATGGAACAGTTGGCCACACATTTAAATTTTGTATGCATTGAGCCAATATTAATATGATATAAAATCAAAAACTTCTCAGTCCTGTTTTGTGTCTTTATATAAAACGTAACTTATAAGATGTGAATATGTACGAAACGTAACCCTAACTCTAACAGAGTGAGCAAGCAGGAGTCCCAGTGCAAAAATTTTCCAACTGACTATGCTCTTTCGACATGTTAGTCTCTCAGGACTCCAAGTGGCCAACTTGTGTCTACATGCTATTTATCCACAAGGGTACGGGACTTATGTTCATGGATCTGAGACTCACACTCAAAGTTTTCTGGCAACCTCGTTCCCAGGGTCTCTCATCTTCCCACACCCTGGAGTGAGATGAGAGACCCTGGAAACAAGGTTGGTTTGCTGACTGTGTGAGTTCCAGAACTCACTACAACCTTTCTTGAGATGGATAACCATTCCACGGCAAATGAGGCCAGAGGCGGAGAATGCAGGGGGTTGTGGTCAAGTTTTTTGTACAGTTTACAGAGATGACTTGAAAGTTACAAGAGTAAAGGAAAACAATGTTATTTTTGGATCCTGTTGTGTTATATAAAGAAATATTTCTAAAACGTAAATTTCACTACAAGTTAATACACAAACATGTATGTGATTTTTTTGGATTATGCAACCAAAAAATGTCATGTTTTATAAGGGGTGGGTCATGTAATTCTTCACCTTCATTGAGGGGTGTTACTCTTTTTGTGTGCCAAATGGTAGGGATGGGTCAAGTGTGTTCCGTCCAGCACATTTTCAAATGCTCTGGCCCACCTTAGATTTTATTTAATAATCCTCTTCATTTTAAACCATTTCTCTGTTCCTACTTAGGTTGTATTTATACTCCTTCTTTATTTACATCTTTTTATTGTAAATTCAAACGGATGTTTTGAATTCTATTTTTAATAAAGACCATGTTAAGTAATTTTCTGCCCAAATGTCATACCCTGATGCCCTTCTGATAAAAAACCTCACTGAAACCCCTACTTTAAGTCATGTCAATTCCTATCCACTTTAATGAAACATGCAGCCATGTAATAAGATCTCTCCTCAGCAGATGCAAATGGAGATACAGCTTCACCATCTTCTTTAGATTACACAGAAGCAGACAGTGACAGAAAAGGAGATTCAGCAACAGCTGGACCAAGAGGTTTGTGATACTGACTTTGTAATGGAGGTGTGCACTGATCATGGTGCAGAAGAACAACAAAGCTGGGAGCTTAAAGTTGAGGGTAGCCCCCCATTGGGGGTTTAATTAAGGGGCTCCCTTGGGAAATTTGATTTTTAAGCCCTGTAAAACCAAGTAAGGAGGAAATGGTTTCCTGCAGGAAAACACTATGTTTTGTTTACCTAACTAGGATTTAAAGTGTCTTAAACCCTTCAGTTATACAATGCTAATCTTAAACCTAGAAGAGGTCAGCGCTGGTATAATAAAATGTGAAATGACCACAAAGAAAAGAATTAAAAACCAACAAGAAATTAATCACAAATCTTATACAGAGCACATATGAAAAACCACTTCTGTCCCCATAGAGTAACAGAGGAAAGAAATGTCTGAACACCGGATAACGATTACA